CAAGAAGCGTGTGGAAAAACCAAGGCGCAAAATAACTGCCCATGAACTGAGAAAAGTCAAGCGTGCAGCTGCCACGATGCCACTTGCCACCAGTTTGGCCATATTTCAGAGCTGCAACATCACTGGAGTGCCCAAAAGCACAAGGTGTGCAATACTCAGAGACATGGCCAAGGTAAGAAAGGCTGAAAGACGACCACCACTGAACAAGACACACAAGCTGAAACGTCAAGACTGGGCCAAGAAATATCTCAAGACTGATTTTTCTAAGGTTTTATGGACTGATGAAATGAGAGTGAGTCTTGATGGGCCAGATGGATGGGCCCGTGGCTGGATTGGTAAAGGGCAGAGAGCTCCAGTCCGACTCAGACGCCAGCAAGGTGGAGGTGGAGTACTGGTTTGGGCTGGTATCATCAAAGATGAGCTTGTGGGGCCTTTTCGGGTTGAGGATGGAGTCAAGCTCAACTCCCAGTCCTACTGCCAGTTCCTGGAAGACACCTTCTTCAAGCAGTGGTACAGGAAGAAGTCTGCATCCTTCAAGAAAAACATGATTTTCATGCAGGACAATGCTCCATCACACGCGTCCAAGTACTCCACAGCGTGGCTGGCAAGAAAGGGTATAAAAGAAGAAAATCTAATGACATGGCCTCCTTGTTCACCTGATCTGAACCCCATTGAGAACCTGTGGTCCATCATCAAATGTGAGATTTACAAGGAGGGAAAACAGTACACCTCTCTGAACAGTGTCTGGGAGGCTGTGGTTGCTGCTGCACGCAATGTTGATGGTGAACAGATCAAAACACTGACAGAATCCATGGATGGCAGGCTTTTGAGTGTCCTTGCAAAGAAAGGTGGCTATATTGGTCACTGATTTGTTTTTGTTTTGTTTTTGAATGTCAGAAATGTATATTTGTGAATGTTGAGATGTTATATTGGTTTCACTGGTAATAATAAATAATTGAAATGGGTATATATTTGTTTTTTGTTAAGTTGCCTAATAATTATGCACAGTAATAGTCACCTGCACACACAGATATCCCCCTAACATAGCTAAAACTAAAAACAAACTAAAAACTACTTCCAAAAATATTCAGCTTTGATATTAATGAGTTTTTTGGGTTCATTGAGAACATGGTTGTTGTTCAATAATAAAATTAATCCTCAAAAATACAACTTGCCTAATAATTCTGCACTCCCTGTATAGTCAACAGAACAACTACATCTTGCCTTCAGGCATTTTCATGGAAACACTGCCTTTTCAGAGAAAATACAGTGTTCACATTGCCCCTAGGGACACCTCCAAGTGGTCACTCCTCATATGGCCACTGGAGGTGCTTCGTGGGGCATTTCTGCTGTTCAGCGTCCCCACGGTCTGCTCGGGGATGCTGTATTTTCCTCATATAGATGCATTGATTCAAAGCATCTCTATGAGGAGGTGCTGATTGGTCAAAACAATGTTTGGCCCGCACAGCGCTGGAAATAAGGTGAGTTTTATTAACTTTTAAGGGAGCTAATGGTGGGGGCAAGCCACCTAAATGGTCGGTTTAACACTATAGGGTCAGGAATACATGTTTGTGTTTCTCACCCTATAGTGTTCCTTTAAGAAGGTAGGAATTGAAGTTCAGGTTTGTCCCCAAGAGTTTTGATAGTAAACAGATTGGGAATGTAGCAGATCGAAAGGATAAATCAGATTAGTTCAGTGATATCCAGAATATAGCAGGTTTCCTCAGTGGGAGCCAGGATCAGAACATGAACTTCAATCAATGTAAAGGCTCTTAGTTTAGCATGGTGTGGCCTCTTATAGCAGGTTCAGCAATCAAGCTAGGCAGGTAAGAGGAACAGTGGTTAGACTAGTGGTTAGGGAGGCCACTAGTGGGGAAAAAATAGAATTTGTAGAAAAAAAAATGAAACATCACTTTGGTTGTCAGGATAGGATCCTGACACAAGCCTACACCATAGTAGCCAGGCCACTGCAAGTATGGCAACCAAACCTGGGGTGAATTCCTACTCACCAGTGCTGATGTTCACTTGCCAACGGCTAGTGAATAACCTTGAATCGACAAAAGAGTTACTGTTACTGTTACCCGGGGGTATAAGTCGAAGCAACAATGAGGGTCTAGCACATCACCAACAATGTCCCACGGATGGGTGAAACATATCTGGTTTTTAGAATTTTACGAAACTCTGCTTTCCAGAGAATTCGTGATTGAGCTCGTATGCACACTTTATCTTGGAGTGTGGTCTGACGGACCTCCGGTAGAGGTAACTGGTGTGTCTGGTTCACTTTATTATAAGCTTGTTTAATTTAATAAATTGGTGGATGTTTTGGTTTTATACATGTCAAGATTGCCATCTTTTGCCTATTACATTAAGAGAGGATTCCAAGGATAATGGCACAACTATTTATTATATGTGGAATAATTGGGGACTGTGCTTTATTCCAACGATACTGTAAGAAGTCATTAAGGTGGGCAACTTTAGCTTAATTAAGTAGTTATGGTGTATAGATCATGCCCTGCTGTCTCATTGCTCAATTCCCTGCCATTTAAGAGTTAAGTCACTATAGTGGTCCTTTAAACACACACAGGAGGTTGTTGCAGGTTTAAGCAGGAAAGTAACAGAGCAGGAGAGAAAAATCAATATTAAACAGACTGTGCAACAAATGAAGCTAAAAATGTAGACTCATTATCAGGAAGTGTTTTGGGAGGCTGCGGAAGTCAGGGAAGGTGTGGCTAGGGCTGCACAAACCACATAATTGAACTCCTAAATGGATGCAGAGAATTGAGCAGTGACACGACAGGGTTGTGTTCTTTCCACCAAAACCTCGTAATTCAGCAAATCATTACATTATTGGTTCATTAACATTTTTTGCACATCTGCTTGGACTGAAACATAAAAACATATAAACATAGAAACATAGAATGTGACGGCAGATAAGAACCATTCGGCCCATCTAGTCTGCCCAATTTTCTAAATACTTTCATTAGTCCCTGGCCTTATCTTATAGTTAGGATAGCCTTATGCCTATCCCACGCATGCTTAAACTCCTTTACTGTGTTAACCTCTAACACTTCAGCTGGAAGGCTATTCCATGCATCCACTACCCTCTCAGTAAAGTAATACTTCCTGATATTATTTTTAAACCTTTGTCCCTCTAATTTAAGACTATGTCCTCTTGTTGTGGTAGTTTTTCTTCTTTTAAATATAGTCTACTCCTTTACTGTGTTGATTCCCTTTATATATTTAAATGTTTCTATCATATCCCCCCTGTCTCGTCTTTCCTCCAAGCTATACATGTTAAGATTCTTTAACCTTTCCTGGTAAGTTTTATCCTGCAATCCATGAACCAGTTTAGTAGCCCTTCTCTGAACTCTCTCTAAAGTATCAATATCCTTCTGAAGATACAGTCTCCAGAGCTGTGTACAATACTCCAAGTGAGGTCTCACCAGTGTTCTGTACAATGGCATGAGCACTTCCCTCTTTCTACTGCTAATACCTCTCCCTATACAACCAAGCATTCTGCTAGCATTTCCTGCTTCTCTATTACATTGTCTGCCTACCTTTAAGTCATCAGAAATAATCACCCTAAATCCCTTTCCTCAGATGTTGAGGTTAGGACTCTATCAAATATTCTGTACTCTACCCTTGGGTTTTTACGTCCAAGATGCATTATCTTGCACTTATCCACATTAAATGTCAGTTGCCACAATTCTGACCATTTTTCTAGTTTACCTAAATCATTTGCCATTTGGCAACATCAACCCTGTTACATATCTTAGTATCATCAGCAAAAAGACATACCTTACCATCAATCCCTTCTGCAATATCACTAATAAAAATATTAAAGAGAATGGGTCCAAGTACAGATCCCTGAGGTACCCCACTGGTGACAAGTCCAAGCTTCGAATATACTCCATTGACTACAACCCTCTGTTGCCTGTCACTCAGCCACTGCCTCACCCATTCAACAATATTTAAATCCAAACTTAAAGATTGCAGTTTATTGATAAGCCGTCTATGTGCAACAGTGAAGGCTTCATAGGCGTGCGCACGGGGTGTGCCGGGTGTGCCTGGGCACACCCTAATCCCCGTGCGCACGCCTATGGTTTGAGTCCTGCAGGAACAGCGTTCCTGCACTCTTTTGAGCAGGAACGCTGTTCCTGCAGGCACTCAGTGTCCCCTGTCTCACCTCTTGCCACTGTCATGGGAGGGCAAGAGGTGATGATTCCCCCCCCCCACCCTGCAGCTCAGCGCGCGGCGAGGGAGCTCTCTGCTCTCTGCTCCCTCTCGCCGCGCGCTGATGCCGGGAGCCGGAATATGACGTCATATTCCGGCTCCCAGCTCGAGCAGACAGCCCGCGCGGCGAGAGGAAGCAGAGAGCAGAGAGCAGAGAGCTCCCTCGCCGCGCGCTGAGCTGCAGAGAGGCGCCCGCCCCCACTGGACCCCAGGGACAAGTCCACCAGCACTCCAGGTAGGAGGCTGGGTGGACATTTAAATTTTTTTTTAAAATATAATAATTTGTGTGTGTCTGTGAGTGTGTGAGTATGTGTCAGTGTGTGTGTGTGTGAGTGTGTGTGTGTGTCTGTGAGTGTGTGAGTATGTGTCAGTGTGTGTGTGTGTCAGTGTGTGTGTGTGTCAGTGAGTGTGTGTGTGTCTGTGAGTGTGTGTCTGTGAGTGTGTGTCTGTGAGTGTGTGTCTGTGAGTGTGTGTCTGTGAGTGTGTGTCTGTGAGTGTGTGTCTGTGAGTGTGAGTGTGAGTGTCTGAGAGTGTGAGAGTATGTGTGTGTCAGTGTCTGTGAGTGTGTGTCTGTGAGTGTGTGAGTATGTGTCTGTGAGTGTGTGTCAGTGAGTGTGTGAGTATGTGACAGTGTGTGTCTCAGTGTGTGTCTGTCAGTGTGTGTCTGTGAGTCTGTGTCAGTGTGTGTCTGTGAGTATGTGTGTGTATGTGTGTGTGAGTATGTGTGTGTGAGTATGTGTGTGTGAGTATGTGTGTGTGAGTATGTGTGTGTATGTGTGTGTGTGTGTATGTGTGTGTGAGTATGTGTGTGTCAGTGTGTGTGAATATATATATATATATATACACACACACACACACACACACACACACACACGCGCGGCGTGTGTTTGTGCTTTAGGGTGCACACCCTAATGCAATAGGCTGCGCACGCCTATGGAAGGCTTATCAATAAATTTTACAAGTTACAAGTGACTGTAACTTGTAAATTTAACACAATACAATTGACATTGTTTAGCTTATTTTATTAGATTCTACTTTTTTATTGAGCTCTTAGTATAAAAGTTCTGTGCAAATCATCCAGTACAAGAGTGTAATTTAACAAAGGTAAGGTAAATGTTGCATAATGTTCAATCGATAGCCAAATCCTGTTGCTTCCAACTCAAGAACATAGCGCGCATCCGCCCATATCTGACGCCGGACGCGGCTAAGGTACTGGTTCATGCTGTTGTTCTCTCTCTCCTTGACTATTGCAATCCCCTTCTCACCGGTCTTACATGTTCCCAGCTTGCACCGCTGCAATCTATAATGAATACGGCTGCGAGGCTTATTTTCCTGTCCGGTCGCACCTCCCACGCCTCCACGCTCTGTCAGTCCCTGCATTGGCTTCCAGTTAGATATAGGGCCCAATTCAAAATTCTGGTGCTTGCTTACAAATCACTACATAATGCTGCTCCAACATACCTATCCTCCCTCATACACAAGTATGTCCCGTCGAGAACCCTGCGCTTAGCCCAAGACCTACGCCTATCTTCTGCCCGGATCCCCACCTCTGATGCTCGCCTTCAAGACTTCTCCAGGGCTGCACCTATTCTGTGGAACTCCCTTCCCTCCTCAATCAGACTTTCACCCAGCCTCCATTCCTTCAAAAAATCTTTGAAAACTCACTTCTTCATTAAAGCGTATCAATTAAACTGTCAGCAGGTTTCTCATCCCCCACCCCATGACTCCGTTCCTACACCTGTCAAAAATGACCTACCAAGCACTCAATAAACCCTTCTGTAACAAACTATTTAATTCCCCTACTTTAACCCTTTGTGTCACTATACCCCACTCCCTCTAGCATGTAAGCTCATCGAGCAGGGTCCTCAACCCCCTCTGTTCCTGTACGTCAGTGGTCTGATATCAATTATGTGTCTGTTAGTCCACCCATTGTACAGCGCTACGGAATTTGTTGGCGCTATATAAATAATAATAATAATAATAATAATAATAATAATAATAATGTAAACTCACATTGATCATTGTCCTGTGCAGCAGTGCTGGATATCATCCACAAGAGGGCAATAGTGAGTAGATAAGCCATTCTTCTCAATGTGAAGGGCTGACTACAGTGAAGAGAATGATAATTAGATCGGTCAGACACTGTAAAATATATTTATATATAAAATATTTTACCAGGAAGGATACATTGAGATTTCTATCATTTTCAAGCATGTCCTGAGTCCACAAACACTGCATTGTAACAGGGAACAGCATAATATTATAAATACAAAGTAATATTAAAAATACAAAGTAATATTTAAATACACAGATACATTTAATACAGATCAAGTAAACATTATAATCAACCATGATATTCTATGCTGAGATATGTTGACAGCGATTGACAGGGATATGTTGAAAGGATGAGTTCCATAATTACGGTGCTCTGTAGGAAAATGAGGATCGAGCCACTTTATTTTTGTATTGCGGTATGCTAAATATTGTGCTGCTACTGGATCGGAGGTTATAGGAGGTGGGAACAGCCAGGGAGAGCATTGTGTTCAGGTAGGGTGGGAGTTTCCCAGAAAAGCTCTTAAACACAAGGCTGGAAAGATGAAGGGTGCGTCTGGATTCCAGCGACAGACAGTTTAGTTCTTTTAGCATGTCACAATGGTGGGTCATATAATTACAATGTAGCATAAACAAGCAGAATGAGTTATACAATTGTAACAAACGCTGGTATTCAATTCCCCGTTCGTTTGGTTCCTCCCGAACTGCTAGGTATTTAGTGGTTATCGCTCGCAGTTCGGGAGCTGATTCCTACTTTCCTAGGAATCAAAGTACAGCATACAAGTAAATTCAGCGGTTCAGCAATCCCTTCCCCAGACATCAATCGGGACTAGATAAGGAGTACAACTCTGACTTCCCTATTCTGTAGGGTGAGCGAAGTCGCAGTGTCCTGGAAGTCTGAGCTCACGTCTGCCATATGTCTTGCTACGGTAATGATCAGGCCTTCCAGAAACAGGAGACTCTTGATACAATACCATATCCAAAAGAGACATTTGCTCAACCCAATTATCCCCCAGACACTAGCGTTACAGATCATAAAACAAACTATTAAATATACATCCCACACTGTTAAGCCATGCTGTAATAACCATGACTATTTTCCTTTTCAAGGTGTAAGGACAGCTTTTGACAGCAGCATCTGATTTTCCTAATTTCTGAACTGTTCTCTCGGTATTAGCTTTATTGACAGCTGTCTTTCTGGGACAAATGCCAGTTATTTCCCACTGGAAAGAGTGACTTTATAATAAAACTGACGCTCTGGAAATTGTATTCTTGCTTTTATCAACTAGATAAATATGAATGCAGTTCCAATAGTATAAATGTTTAAAAGGCAGGTCCAACTAATGTCCTCAGGAAGTCCACTAGCTCCACTTGCAACCAAATGGAGCACACCATGTGCTACACTCAGTGTTGTTAAAAAGTAGTCTTTATGTCTCTGTGTGACTGTATGTCTCTATATGTCTGTGACTGCATGCCTCTGTATAACTGTGACTGTATGTCCTGTATGTCTCTATATAACTGTGACTGTATGTCCTGTATGACTGTGTATGTATGCCTCTGTCTGCCTGTCCAAATGTCTGTATGACTATATGTCTGTGTCTGTAATTTCTGTATCTCTCCTTATGTCTGTATGCCTCTATGTCTGTGACTGTATGCCTCTTTATAACTGTATCTGTATGTCTTAATGTATGTCTCTGTATGCCTGTCTGTATGTCTCTGAATGCCTCTGTGTTTGTACGTCTCTGTATGACTGTGTCTATGTCTGTGTCTGTATGACTGTATGTCTGTTTTTATGACAGTGTACCTGTATGTGTAGACTGCATGACTGTTTGTCTCTTCAACTGTGTTTGATTGTGTAAATTTTATGACTATATGTCTGCATATCTTTGTGACTTGGTGCATCAATAACTATGTCTGTGTGCCTGTATGTTTGTGTCTTTGTGCATGTATGTATTTTTGTCTGTATATCTATGTCTGTATGGCCTGTGAGAAAAGAGACACACAAAGGGACTGAAAGGAAGGGACACACAAAATGGGTTAGAGGAGAAAGAGACATAGAAAGAGGCTGGGGGAAAGACACACAGAAAAGGGCTGGGGGAGAGTGGGACACATGGGAGTGTGAGACACACAAAAGGGGGGATAAAATACACTAAAAGGCTTGTAAGAAACACAAAGGGGCAACATGAGGTGGTACATTCAAATGAGGGTACATGAAACACCGAAGAGGTTAAGTTATGAGGGTTATGAGATACTGAAAATGCATTTATTAGGGGGGGACAACAAAATGCATCTTCACATGTGTAGCCATAAAATCCTTGCACCGGCCCTGGGAACACACAAGTAGCTGGGTAATAGTTTCACATAGTAGCAGGGGGGAAGGGAAGAGCAAAGGTTTAGCTAGTCCTGATTTGTGCAACCTAACAGATTTGCCTGTTTGAGTAAAGATGTTGGGAGCATCAGCTCAGGAGTAGCTGTACTGGAGGAAGCTGTTCTTTCTAACAGCCGAGGGAATAGACCGTCTAGTACAGGTGGGGTCAAGAATGAAAGAAAGGCTAGACAGGTTGTGGTGGTAGGGGACTCTCTTATTAGATCGAGAGTAGATAGGGTAATCTGCCATTCTGATCGTCTCAGCCGGACAGTTTGCTGACTCCCTCACCACCCCCCTTCACCCTCAGCTTCACTACCCCCCTTCAGCCTCACTTCAGTTTGCTGACTCCCTCATGTTGCTGACAGAGTGGATCAATTATTGTGAGTGGCCGGGTGTGACATGCTCCATATGCTCCATATTGGTAGCAATGACAAAGTCAAAGGAAAATGGAGGGTCCAAAAGAATGAGTTTAGGCAGGGGTTAAGTCCTAGGGAAAAAAGTGTGGGAACTCACCCACCCACCCCCCAAAAAAAAATGATACGCTTGTATGCATATATATTTCTCAGAAAATACAGTACAACATTTATTGTAAAGTGCCAGTTTACAAAGACATCTTCAAAATTCACATGCAATAAACAAATAAATATCGAACAGTTGTAAAATAAATTTACCTCCTCTGCCCCTTCCACAAAAAACCCTGCACACTCATAGAAAGCCCCTGCCCTTCCCCATTCTACAAAACTCCTGTCCTGCCCTCCTTACCCAAAACCCCTGCACCTCCCCTTAACAGAAAACCCTGCATCCCTTTCCATAAAATTTAAACATCCCCATTCACATAAAAACCCTGCACCCTGGCCCCTTTACATAAAATATACAACCCCACTTCACATAAAATCCATACACCCTCTTCAAATAAGGTTAATACACCCAGGACCCCCTTCACATAAAATTAATACACCCCTGAGCCCCTTCACATAAATATCCTCTACTCACAATACTGCAGTATAGTGTGAGCCGACGGCCGCGGCACCCCCCGGCCCCTCAGTACGCCACTGCCTACAGAACTACTAACGGGAACAGTGTTCCTGCTGTGGAAAAAGTGCAGGAACGCCGTTCCCACGCGTTCCTGCAGGACTCGAGCCCTGAGTTCAGGGAATTAGGAAGTAAACTGAATAAAAGGACCTCCAAGACAGTATTTTCAGAAATATGGCCTGTGCCATGTGTTACAGTAGAAAGACAGCGGGAAATTGTGCAGGTTAATGCATGGTTAAAGTCATGGTGTAGAAAGGAGGCTTTTGGCTTTTTAGAGCAGTGGGCTGATATTTTGCATCAGAGGCAGCTCTCTCATTAGGCAGTTTAGGTGGCCGCCTAAGGCCTTGCGCTGGCTGGGGCCTCACGGCCGCCTAAACCGTCTTATGGCAGCCTGTGTCAGGACCTGACACCAGGAGGGGGCCCGGCGGCTTGCCCGGTATGCCGCCGGGTGCGAGGCCCCTCCTGGCTGCCCAGCCACCATCGCAGACACCGGTCTGCAGATCTGGCAACGGGTTACCACGGCAACGCTCTGACATCTCGCGAGATTACATGGTCTGCAGCTCTGCGGAGCTGCAGTCTGGAAGCAATGACCACCGGACCACCAGGGAGCCCACTGGACCACCAGGGAAGAGAAGGTAAGCTCTCTCACCCCCCCCCTTTTCACCCTCACCACCCCCCTTCAGCCTCACTACCCCCATTCAGCACTCACCCCCATTCAGCCCTCACACCACCAGCCTCACCACCCCTTCACCTCACCACCCCTCCACCAGCCTCACTCACACCAGCCAGCCTCACCACCCCCTTCACCCCCAGTCCCCACCCCACCCTCACCATCACCACAGTCAGCCTCACCACTCACCACCCCCTTCACCCTCAGCTTCACCACCCCCACCACCCTCACCACCACCCCCACCACCAACCTCACTGTAACTAGACTGGTAATAAAAGTCTCATTTTGCTACTGAATCCATTCATTTGTGAGTAACGAACAAAAAGGATGATATACAAACAGAAATCAAAAATCTCACCCTGCTCTGCACTGGATTAAAAGGTTATCTCACAGATAATCATCATTATAGCAGGAAGTAGTTGATTTTCATCAATATTGGTAGCTATACACAGAACTGTGAATGTGCATGCACACATATGAATCGGCATTCGCTTCTTTACTAAGAGCAACTCAGAAATTATTCTCAAATGTGAACGTTTTATTGCTAACTTTATGAAAGGGACACTCAGGAAACCATAACAACTCAATCAAGCTATCTCTGGACCAGGATGACCCACGCTTCATCTAACATTAGGCAATAATCCACTTATGAACGATTTAGCCCCAAACTTGCGCAAACAGCACCTGTCTGCAATCGAGCATACTGCTAGTTGTTAATCAAGTCACAGATCTTTAGACAGAAGTATTCATTGGGTATTTATACATTCTTTTCAGTCACTAGGTTACTTTGTGTGTGTGGAAGGGGGTGATGTGACAGGATGACTGAGTATGTTTGGGGGGGCAGGTGATGTGACAGGGTGACTGAGAGTGTGGGGGAGGGGGTGATGTGACAGGGTGACTGAGTGTATGTGGGGGAGGTGTGGTGTGACAGGGTGACTGAGTGTATGTGAGGGAGGGGTGCTGTGACAGGGTGTGAGTGAGGGAGGGTAGATATGACAGGGTGACTGAGTGTGTGTGGGGGAGGGGTGATGTGACAGGATAACTGAGTGTGTGTGGGGAGCGGCTTGGAGTTAAGACGAGACAGGGAGGATATGATAGGAACATTTAAATACATAAAGGGAATCAACACAGTAAAGGAGGAGACTATATTTAAAAGAATAAAAACTACCACAACAAGAGGACATAGTCTTAAATTAGAGGGGTAAAGGTTTAAAAATAATATCAGGAAGTATTACTTTACTGAGAGGGTAGTAGATGCATGGAATAGTTGATGTGATAGGATGACTTTGGGTATCTGGGGAGGGGTGATGTGACAGATAACCGAGTGTGTGTGGGGGAGCTGTTGACGTGATAGGATGACTTAGTGTGTGTTGGGGAGGAGATGATGTTACAGGGTGACTAAGTGTGTGTGGGGAAAGGGGTGATGTGACAGGATGGTTGAGTGTGGGAGGGAGGGGGTAATATGACAGTGTGACTGAGTGTATGTGGGGAAAAGGGTGATGTGACAGGGTGACTGAGTATGTGTATGTACGATCTGGTGCTGTGACAGGATGACTGAGTGTATGTGTACTATCTGGTGCTGTGACAGGATGACTGAGTGTGTGGTGGAGGGAGTGATGTGACAGGGTGACTGAGTGTGTGTGAATGGGAGGGAGTGAAGTGACAAGATGACTGAGCACGTGTGTGGGAGTGGGTGATGTGACAGGATGACTGAGCGTGTGTGTTGGAGTGGGTGATGTGACAGGATGATTGAGTGTGTGGTGGAGGGAGTGATGTGACAGGGCGACTGAGTGTGGGGGAGCTGATAATGTGACAGGGTGACTGAATGTGTGGAGGAGGGCATAATGTGACAGAATGAGTGTGTGTAGGGAGGGGGTGATGTGACAGGATGACTGAGTGTGTGTAGGGAAGGGGTGATGTGACAGGATGAGTGTGTGGGGTAGATTGTATGTGGGGAGATTTTCCTGTTCAGCTTTGCCTTACAGTGCTAGTCATTATTATATTTATGTTTCGATGAATCCCCCTCCTTCTTACCTTTGTCCAGTGAGGAGGGCTATGATCCCTATTCCTTTGAGGTCCAGTGGTCTCCGTGGTAGTCTGGTGGTCTACATGTGAAATCTGCCATCTGTTTGAGAGCAGACCCCTTGTAATGCTACCTTCCAGTCAAAAGGTGCTTTCAGCCAGAGAGAGCATTGAAGCGCTCAATGAGATCTTTAGATTTCCATACCAGCCCACGCAGCGCGGGGCCTGCGGGGAGAGCAGCAGAGGCGGCACTTGAAAGGTAGCGCTGACTCTGCTATAAGCACAATCATCGCAAAGAAATCTGTGAACGAATTTTATTTGCAATGATTGTAAACGTGTTACACGATTGTGGGGTATGGGTCAAGACCTTTCAATCATGTATACACTAGTGCCAACGGGAAGGGGTTTAGGGAACAAATAGAGCAGCATTTGATTGGCGCAGTGTAACATTTTGCCATGCATTCACACAAGCCTCACAATGCATACTTATGGGAAAAAAAAAAAAAAAAAGAGAGAAAGATTGATTGTAAATCCTATGCTGCTAGTGGAAATAGATTAGTAAACAAAATACCTATACTGTCACAAAACAATTTCTAATATAAAGTATATTCAATAGAAACATTATATACGGATTCTCTAACCCCGGTCTGGTGGGTCTGCGTATAGTATGAGCATTATGAGTCCCACGGGCCCTTCTACAAGGGGAATTAATTACTGTAAAAGATGTCACATTGTATAAAACAAGGCATTAATTCTGATTGACATTCTTATAATTAATCAGACAGTTAGTAATTAGTTACCGTGTACACCGGGATGTTGTTGATGTATCGAGGACGTGCTCCTTACACTGGATTACAGGATTGTACGATCCCATATTTATACATCTGAGAAACCCCTCATGTTAAACTGTGGATGTGATTTAAATTCCAATTTATCAGGTAACACGAATGGACACACCCTGTGAAACAATTGAAAAGCTAGAATTTCAGGTTAAAAGAACACTGATTAGTTAGTGTAAATATAGGAGGACAAATATTTATTGATTTTCAATAAGAAGTGAAATGATAAGGCTTAACGCATTTTCTAGAAAAATGGAACATAAATCCTCATGAGCAATGTGCTAGGATTCCTTAGGAATGTGACCAGGAGCTGGTGTCTGGATATGCATCTCGTATGGACTAGGATTCCTCCGGAACGTGGCCAGGAGCTGGTGTCTGGCTATGCATCTCGTATGGGTTAGGATTCCTCAGGAACGCGTCCAGGAGCTGGTGTCTGGCTATGCATGCCGTATGGACTAGGATTCCTCAGGAACGCGGCCAGGAGCTGGTGTCTGGATATGCATCCTGTATGGGCTAGGATTCCTCCGGAACGTGGCCAGGAGCTGGTGTCTGGATATGCATCTCGTATGGGCTAGGATTCCTTAGGAATGCGACCAGGAGCTGGTGTCTGGCTATGCATCTCGTATGGACTAGGATTCCTTAGGAACGCTGCCAGGAGCTGGTGTCTGGCTATGCATCTCGTATGGACTAGGATTCCTCAGGAACGCGGCCAGGAGCTGGTGTCTGGCTATGCATCTCGTATGGGTTAGGATTCCTTAGGAATGCGACCAGGAGCTGGTGTCTGGCTATGCATCTCGTATAGGCTAGGATTCCTCCGGAACGTGGCCAGGAGCTGGTGTCTGGCTATGCATCTCGTATGGGTTAGGATTCCTCAGGAATGCGGCCAGGAGCTGGTGTCTGGATATGCATCCTGTATTGCCTCGGATTCCTCCGGAACGTGGCCAGGAGCTGGTGTCTGGATATGCATCTCGTATGGGCTAGGATTCCTTAGGAATGCGACCAGGAGCTGGTGTCTGGCTATGCATCTCGTATGGACTAGGATTCCTTAGGAACGCTGCCAGGAGCTGGTGTCTGGCTATGCATCTCGTATGGGTTAGGATTCCTTAGGAATGCGACCAGGAGCTGGTGTCTGGCTATGCATCTCGTATAGGCTAGGATTCCTCCGGAACGTGGCCAGGAGCTGGTGTCTGGCTATGCATCTCGTATGGGCTAGGATTCCTCCGGAACGTGGCCAGGAGCTGGTGTCTGGCTATGCATCTCGTATGGGCTAGGATTCCTTAGGAACGTGGCCAGGAGCTGGTGTCTGGCTATGCATCTCGTTTGCAGCAGGTCATAACAGCACAAGGTGCTCTACTAAGTACTAGAGGTGTTTGCCATGAAGGGGATGAGTCATTTTAAGACTGGAGAAGTCATTATAAGTTGCATTTGCAGTTGGATTTGGGGAAACCACTTGTTGTGTTGAGCTATTTCAATTGCTTTTGTCTGATTTGTTCATTACAAACAGCTGAAAGTCTGTACATTTTGTCAATAATCATGATTTTCAGTGGGGATCGAATTATTTTGATCACAACTGTATATATTTAATGTAGTCCATCTGAAGTGCCAAAGGTTACCTACCACTGCTCCAGGCGATGGTTCTGACGTGCCCTAATCTGTAAATATTGGACCAACACAAACTAAAATACTAAATGAGTCATCCCTAATATACCTTACTACAATCATGTCAAACTCACGGCCCACAGGCTGCATGCGTCCCACAATGGATATCTTTGCGGCCCGCCGAGCCGCGAGTGCATGCTTAGTGTTAACGCAGAATAGGCACCTACTTTCTTCATATTGCAGGTGCCATCTCTGCTAAAAGTTACCCGGCCAGGGAGGAGAGGTTCCTGGCGGCAGTGAGGGAGCTCAGCTTTCCTGCTTCTCACTGCTCCCTCGCATGCGCCATCCGTAGTGATGCCGGGCACCAAAATATGACATCATATTCCGACACCCGGCATCACTAAACTGCGCGTGAGGGAGCAGTGCAGACAGGGGAGGGCTGGCAGCCTTAGGCCTGGGGGGGCAAAACCAGTCAAGAGGCCCATTGCACCACCAAATCAGTGCAATGGTGCCCACCTTTTCCTGGATTTATAACTGATATTGATGTTATGCTAATCAGTAGCTCTTTGCCATACCCGCTCCTTCACGGCTCTGACTTTCAATGTTGTCAGAGCGCAGGCTGAGAATCTCTGAGCCTGTGCTCTGACTCACTAACTGAGCGTCGGAACCACGAGGGAGATGCTATAATCTGACTGCACCTACTGCTGGTGCGCACCAGTGGACCACCAGCGAATCGTTTAAATTGAATAGGCTGGTGTCCCCAACTTGTGAGCTGTGTTGTCCGCCGGGCGCCTCTGTTGTGATGGCACCCTGCGTGACCGCACAGCGTGCACACCCCAATGGCTGGCCCTGCTGACACACACTGATGTTACTACTTAGAAATCCCTCAATATTAATACAGACAGCAGAGTAAACACCAATAAACTGTGGAAACAGATCTGATCCCATCCAAATTTATAAAGATTTGCTTACTGGATTTGTTGTAAGATTAAATCATGCCTCCTCCCCTCTCTCTCCCATGCGCTGCTCTGTAAGCTGGGAGGAAGTGAAGAGTAATCACAATCTCTCAGCACAGTGGCACCTGTGGCTGCATGGGGAACAGCTGTATTTGCCGCCCCCCATGTGACATCACAATGCCCCACCTATATGAGCTGCCATACGAACTAACGCCAGTGCTGCCCACAGTGTGTGTTTACATTAAAAAGCCTGCAGGGACCGCCTATAGATACCAGAACCACTTCATTAAGCTCCAGTCATTCTGGGGACTATAGTGTCCCTTTAATGTAATGAAAATTATAGATTAGTGTCACTAATAATATACTAGATTGCCTACTTACAACCAAATGAGGATGATGATGGGCTGCAGTTTGGCTCCACTGGTCTGGTGTAGAACAGGATCTCTGGAGGCTGTTTGCAACTGTGGTCACAAAATTCAATGTTCTGGGAGAATTGGAAGCAGCTCCATTTTTGGAAGGGCCCCTTACACAGCTCAAGGTCTGGGCCCCAGGGCCTGACGGTGAGTATGCCCACAAGGCCCACTCATAAGTCCACTTATATGTTCCACCCACCCATGAGTTCGCTCACAGGGAGTGGAGTGTGTAGGGGATGTGTTATGTGTTATTGTAGAGCAGGGGTTCTCAACGTTAGTCCTCAGGACCCCCTACCAGTCCAGGGTTTAGGGATTACCTGGGTGTGTCTAAGGTGTTTTTTCCTTTTTCTAAACACCTGAGACACACCCAGGTAATCCCCAAATCCTGGACTGGTAGCGGGTCCTGAGGACTGGGTTGAGAACCCCTGTTGTAGAGGATCTAATATGTGTGCTTATGGTATGTAGTGTATAGGGATACCAGTTTGTGCAGGTGATGCAGTGTGTTTGTGTGTAGTGGAAGCAGTGTGTATTTGTGTATAAGGGATGTATTGTGTGTTTCTGGTTGTGTGTAAGGGATGCATTGTGTGAATCTGTGTTTGTATGCATAAGGGATGCAAGGTGTGTGTCTGTAAGTGTGTGCATTGAGTGTGAGTAGTGATGTGTTTCTGTGTGTATGTAAGAAAAGCAGTGTGTGTGTGTAAGTGTTTGCATTATGTGTTTCTGTGTATGTGTGCAAAGGATGCATTGTCTTTGTGTGTAAGTGTTGCATTGTTTGTGTGTAATGGATGCATTGTGTGTTTCTTTGTGTGTAAGGGAAGCATGTTGTGTTTCTGTGTGTGTAGTGTCCTCTCCTCCCTGTGTCCTCCTCACCTCCCCCTCCCTGTGTTCTCCTCACCACCTACCATCCCTGTGTTCTCCTCACTACCCACCCTCACAGTGTTCTTCTCAACCCCACGGCATTTTTTGCGCATTTTATTTCGGCATTTCGACGCATTTTCGACGTATTTCGACGGATGCATTTCGATTTTATTTCGGACGTGACTTCGCGATGACGGATGGATGGATTTTATGTCTTGGGATGCAGTGATGGAGCGATGGTGATGGAGTGATGGATTTTATTTTATTTCGATATTTTTGTTTTTTTTCGGAGCGATGGAGTGTGTATGGAATTGAGGGATGGAGTGATGGATGGATGATGGAGATTTTGGTGTATCTCTTGAGCGATGGAGGGATGGAGTGATGGGTTTTATTTTATTTATTTTTATTTTATTCTGAGTGTGATGAAATCTCGATATAAAACCAACCTGACTGACCCTGTCCTTTTGTCCCTGGGAATGAAATTTTGTCCTGAGCCTGAACCCATTAAGGGAGTCAAGAGCAAACTGGAGAAAAGGAAACAGCAGACCAATCACCAGAGTCAAGGAACTGACACTGCCTTCTGGGAGAGGCAGTGTTATATACCCGGCTAACGAGACATCAACTTCAGGTGTAACATGAGTGGCAGGAGTAGTTTCACTAAATGTCCAGCCCCAGTGCTAGATACTAGACAGGGCTAGATACAGGCAATAGTAAAGCTGAGAGGTGGCTCAGAGGTAACAGAACAGCACCATAACCGCCAGGTTCCCAACTTCAAATCCTGACAGTGTTTGTGTGTATGTGTGTGTGTCAGTGTTGAATTGGCTGCGACTGGACAGTGAAGTACCTGGAGGTGCATGGAGGCACACAATGCCACATCACATTCCGACATGACATCGACATACTCCACCTTCACAGTGTTTCAAGAAGTAGCAGGAGAGGATCAGATTTGGCACAGGGTGCAGACAGTGCCATTTTGGGTATACCAGAGGCCGGACTCCAGGGTCACATATTGGCAGCGGCAATGTGAGTGGAGTCTGCTTGTTGGTTAGAGGGGGGTACTGGGATTTAGTAGAGGGGGATGCTGTTTTTTTTTTTATACTGTACTTTTCAAAATAAATCCACGTTTCTATAAAAATTTAAGGGGTGTTTTTTTTGCGTCCCACATGAACTTAAACCTTGTTAGACTTTGAGTTTGACGTGCTTGCTTTACACTATGAGGTGATACCACTGCTCAAAGTTCTAATTGTATCCACCCCTCACCTATGACCTTCAGGTGGGGGGTACTAAATGTAATGCAATCCAATTAGGTGGGGGGACATTGTCCATCACCCAAAATTATTTCCACCACCCCTTTCCCAGAAGGATCTTCACCCATAGTGTGCTCTATGCAGGGTGAGCTTGCAAGGCAGGGAAACCCCCTATACGGTCTTTATTACACTATCCAAGCTCAATCAGAGCTCTGTGATTGGTTAATCAGAGCTATTCAAGCTCAATCAGAGCTCTGTGATTGGTTAAGGCTTTGCCCACAATACGCAAGCTCAGCCATAACCCCCTACGGGTGATGAAGCAATATTTTCATTTTTTTATCATGTTTTTTGCAAATCATGTCTTTTCTTTTTTATATTCACATTAGTTATTATGGATTTGCGTTTGACCTTTTGTGGGGCTGAAAAAAGAAGATTTAAGAAAAAGGTAAGTACAATATGTTTTATTGGTGTTCAATGTATTGGGCCCCTCTCACTATTATTATAGTGCCATGCCATGCGTGGCAGCTATTTATTAATAAATGGGGGTGAGGTGGGCAATAACCCCACTTCCCCCTCATGTATTAAAAAAGAGTTTGCACACACCACCTATGGGTGGAAGCTGGGGGGACTCTAGGAACCCACATTATCACTGTTAGAGCCACCACCACCTGCTCATTGAAAGCCTCGCCATTGGGGGGATGGGGTTAGTGATCTTTCCACCTGTCTTTCTTTAAATTGAAGCCCACACACCTTGTTCTCACAGGTGGGGGTATGTGAGGGGTTCAGTACCAGTGACTGTGCACTTACTAGTCATTTATTACAATGAGGAGCCACTGGCACACATGCTCCTACTCATGGCATGGCAAGTGGGTACATGGGGGAGATTTAAAACCTCCCTTGTACTAATATGAGCTTTATAGTGACCCTCACAGGCCATTTTAACAACTTACTCATTGGCTGCTAGTTTTGTCAGTGGATAAATAGTTACTGCAAATCCCAACACAGCTTGGCCATTAGCCGTTTCGGGAGCTTCAGGATTATGCCAGCTGCCGATGGCTCGTAATTCTCTTTCTTTCTAAAATCCTACATACTTATTGACCCTTAACAGGGAACACATGGGGTGGGCGGCAGTATTATAACATGGCTGTGTGATACAAAAGTAAATACTAATCCTGCACTCAGAATCCCACTACTCCTAGCAGCAATGTTGTCACGGCAGCTAGTGTGGTCCAACATGCAGAAACTATGTAAATATATACATAAAAAGAAAAGGAAAATAAAAGGATAGAGCGTAAACCGGACCTTAGAATGGCCGGACTAATACACTAGAGATAGAGAATGGTCAAAGGGAAAGCTGAGGTCAAGGAAGCCAGAAATACTCAAATACCATTTAAACAAGCCAAGTCAGGGGAACCAGAATTCAGAATAACCAGGGAAAAGCCAAGATCAGGATACCAGGAAGTCAAAATCACAAAGATAAACGCACTCTCAGGAACCGGGAACAGGAAACCACGACAGGGCAAGGAAGTAAAGTGAATTATGGATTTAAATATCCCTCTCTGGCTTCTGATTGGTCAGAGGGTGACCTCTGACCCCAGAACGTGCGCGTGCGCTGACGTTGTGACGTCACGCGCACGTCTGTATTCATTAGAGGAGCGGAGCTTAAGATGGACGCGACCACGTGGTCCGTGCCATCGTTGATTTGGGCGCGATGCCCAGAGAAGGCAGTGGAGCGGCTCCCGGCTCACTGACGAGCAGGTAAGCTCGTGGTGTCGGCGAGACGGTGCCGGTCGGGTACAGCTGCGGCACCCGGCGGGTCGGGAGCCACAACAAATGTCCATAGCACACATCACATCACTCACTTTTTGCATGCATTATTGGCTTCCTTATATCTTTTATTTAAATGCTTGAAATACCCTTTTCTTATTTTTAATTTCTAATGTATTGCCCAATGCTACTGTCACATCTTGTTCCTGCGGATCATTCTGGCCTTGGCT